GTTCGTTGGCAAATATCAAACAGATGGAACCAGAAGCATCTAGGGGAGAGGAAATAGAGACAAACATGGTTGTCATGGTTTCTTTGAGATGCAATAAACAAAGGGACCCAAATGGACAATAAAACCCCCCATTGGGAAAAACCACATGTTGTTCCTTTCTGTCTTGGTTCGATAATTGCCAAGCTCACTTTGAATGTCTGGAGTCAGTGGGAGATGAGAGAACAGTCATGCTGTCACTCACCCCTGGCTATTCTCAAATTATATTTACCCTGGGACCATCCTATGCTCCTCTATAACAGACTTCAAACAATTAATGACAAGCTCAGATTAATCAATTGCCCCAGTGGGCAGTGCCCTGAAGAAATATGTGCTACATGTAAACACGAGAGAAGCTGTGCACAGCCTGCGACCAAGTTCTCAGTTTAATTGGGAAGCAGCTAGCACATATGAGGGGAACATAAAAGATTTATACATCCTGGTGGACACATTCAGGTTCCCCGTCTCTGGGGTCCCTTTGCAGTCATGTCGAAATTAATCTAAATCCAACTCCACTTACGTTCTAAGTAATACGTGAATGGTCTGAGAGCTCGCTACATCTGTGCTGTCCAATGTTTCCCCATAATTTGTTTGTGGGGTGTTGAAAAGGAGGCAATGGGGATGGGGAGGAACCCCTTCACGATGGCTTTTTTGAGCGTCACGCTGAAGCCAAGCACAATGAAGACTGTCCCTCTATGATGTTAAACAGGCCAATGTTGGAACATTCAAATGTTTGGCTGAACTCAAGGTTTGTCTAGAGGTTCCGATCAAGTTGACACAAGGTCTTTTCCAAGGTCATCACAGAGGCTGCCAGCACTGAGATCAGACTGTTGAAACCCTGAGTTCTAACACTCCCCGCCAAAACGGATTCTTTCTATTCCACACAAGATTAGTGCTTGTTTCTCCTTGTTTTCCTTGCCCTTCCAGAGTGACCCTCCAGATTGCTGAAGGGTTGTGCAACTAGAGTGGAGGTGCTGTGTGGAGATGAGGAATGTGGCTGTTCCTGAAACCCTGGCCCGGGGGTGATGGGTGGGAAGACTGGGCACTTGAGCCAGCTGCAGTGCAGGAAGAGTGGCCTGACCTTGGCTCAGTTACATGTCCTCAGAAGCCAAGAAGTCACCGAGTGATTTTTAGGTTTTTAAAATTTATCTCTCAAGCAAAGCTTGCAACATCTTATTTCCTGTTTGGGGATTTCCTGAAACTAAAACTGTAAAGAAATCCATAGGAATACGTCTCTGGAGCTATGACTGCACATCGGCTTCACCATACAACTCACCTTGCCAACTCAACACTCTTTTTTTATATATATATTTTTATTTCAGAGAGTTAGGGAGAAGGAGTGAGCGATTGAAGCACGTCCCCTACTAGGGATCTAGCCCACAACCTGGGCATGTGCATTGACCAGGAATCAAACTATGACCTCCTGTTTCATAGGTCAACACTCAACCACTGAGTCATACTGGCCAGGCTCATCGCTCTTTTTATATCTCCTCACAAAGTGCATTTTTCATTTTTTCTTCATTGCCCATACCCCTCTGTTCCTTGTCATTGTCATTCCCCCTAACTTTCAGAAAATGTAAAAGCCTATTATAAAGTTTATCCTGGGGTGCTGCTTTTTCAAAAGATGGGTTATAATATAAGTTTTAGGGAACTACGTTATCCTCTATAATTACAAAACTGAGGGAAAGCATCAAAACATAAAGAATCACTGACTTGATTAGTGGTGTCTGGGTCTTAGACCTGGGACCTGTATGAAGGGGATAGGCATAATAACAATGGCACAGGCAATGACATCACCATTTTCTTTGAACTTGAAAGCGGGTTTTCCATAATCGTGATCATGGTTTATTATGGTGTCACTTCCAAGATCCCAGCATAGTTTTTTCTGAGGTTTTGTTGTTCACACAAATATATCATCATTACTGCATGGTTCTTCCTATTCCACTCAAATTTCTACTTCTTCCCAGCATAGGTTTTGACTTTTCCATAAATAAGGTGCCTGGTGAAGATGCTACTCTTTCCAAACACAAAAAAAATTCCTCCAGAACTGGGGCAACCCACTTGCCTTGCATCGCCATATGTGAAGGGATTGATGGGGAAGTCCCTGCCAGAGCAGGGCATCTCCAGCCAGGAGACTGAAGCTCACCACCACTACAAAAAGCTGCTAGTAGCAAACCTTCTATCCATCCAGATAAAAAAAAGTTTAAAATTTCACTCCACCATGGTTACATGGAGATTCTTTGGGTATTATAAAAGAAAGGGGGTGGGGGGAACTACCTACCTAAAATAGTTATTGTGATAACTGAGTGCTGTTATTCAAGACAGCCTCCAGCACAGTGCTCACCAGAGACATAAATCATGTCTTGGGCTTTCTTTTAATAGTAGAGCAAAAACACCTCATATAATATAGTTAACAACCTGGCCTTTAACTAACAACCCCTTGGCAACAGTCCTTTCTCCTTTGATATTACCAGATAAAGTGACAGAGAAATTAATTCCCTTCTATCCCCAATACCACTCAACAGTGTGCTTCCTCCTTCAAAGAGGGTGCTTCCCTTGAAACACAGTGACTTTGAAATGGTTGTGCAACCAAGTTCACGCTGTGCCCTCTCATTAGTCTGAGGCTTGAACCTATTACTATCTTAATAAAAAACCATCTATAAAATCAAATTTCTTAGATTTTGATAAACATAAACAAAGACTGGTACAGAGAAGAACTTCAAAGACCAGACCAATCACTTCCTGTTAGGTACAAAAGCTAAGGGCCGGGAAGGTTAAGAGATTTGTACAAAATCAGGGTGGGAAGAGATCAACCAAATACATCTACGCATAACCCATTTTCACAGACAATAATGTAATGAGGGCTTGGGGTGGGGGGCAGGCTAGAAGGGGTCAATGGGGAAAAAAGGAGGACATATATAGTACTTTCAACAATAAAGATTTAATAGAAAATAAAAAGTAAAAAGAGAGATTTAGTCTGAGGCTTGAACCTATCCAAACACTACAGCCGCTCTCCACAAAATCATATTTAGTAATGGCAAAGCTAAGATTGAGAAAGAACCCAGTCATAGGGCAGCAGCCATGTGACCCTTCTTGCCTCTGATTGTAGTCCTCATTTCTCTGACCCAGCCAGAGAAGGAGCTACTAAAGAGATTTCCCATGGCAGGCACAGAAAGCCACTGGCCTGCGATAAAAGGGGAGTGGTGCCACAGGAACTCCTAAACTGCCCCCTTATGTCACGTCAGAGACATGAGTATCAGCATCTCTTCCTGTCCTCTGGAGCTTACATCTTTCCACAGCAAAAAGTGTTGACCCTGCCATAATGGCTGGCACAAGGCTCTAGCATCGTCTAGAAAATGTGAATCCGTGCTTTCCCCTCGTCTTTTGCGGAGCTCTAGCAGATGCTCTAGACAAAGCAGCTGAACTTGGTCCGTGACAGGATCAGAAATGACAGAGAATGCTCACACACCAATGGGCCCACCACGACAGGCCGTATATCATCCTGAGAAAAGACAAATCACCTTCAACACAATTGGAGCTCCCAGGGGCATTCACTTCCACTCTCATATTGATCAAAATGTACAGGCTGTCCAGCCCGAATCATACTTAGTATTCTGCTCAGCTGTATAAGGGACGGTTGGGAACATCTCGCTGATCACACACACAAGGAGAACCATCGTCACCAAACATTCTGCCGCTCTGGGACTGGAAGGATGCAGAGCAAAATGAAAATGAGAAAGCTAACAGAGGTGCCTGAGCATATGGAAAAGCTAGAGACGTGCCTTGTTCTTTCAACTTGAAGAGTAGATGGATCAACTTCACACAGCTTTTAGTACTCACTTACTAGTGTTCCCTGTAAACCAACAGATGGAATCTCTCACTGCCAAGTTCTCATGCATTTCACGTTCCCGCTCAGTATCAGGACACGGCGTTTGCCAAACGCTAATAAACTAGTGAGTAACCAGGAATCCAATGCTACACCTTCTGCCTACCTTCCAGCGAGGAAAGCATGCACTCTGCATTTACATGAACTTCCACAAAAGGCAGCAGGCACATGGGTGAAACATGTACAATGAAGGCAATCGGTGTGCACGAAAAATACAGTAATTCCCCCTTATCCTAAAGGCTCCCCAGAGGGTGCCTGAAGCCACAGACCCTATAGAGACTAGGATAGTTTAATTTATAAAGTAGGCATTGTAAGAGGTTTACAAAGTCACTAATGATAGAACATAGCAATGGTAATAACAGACTGCACTAAACATTATGTGAATGTGGTCTCTCTTTCTCTCTCAGAATACTTTATTGTGCTGTACTCACCCTTCTTCTTTGGATGTGAGACGATAAAAAGTATTAAGTTGAGAACTTCCCTCTTTTCACTGCAAGGCGTGAGCACCTGAGGGCTTCTCCGTGGCCCATCCCAGTGGCAGCAACGCTCCTCCCGCACTCTGGGGACGTCGGTAACTAAAATAAGGGTGACTTGAACTCGAGCACTGTGACACTCCGGCAGTCGACCTGATAACCGAGTCACCACTACCTACCACGCTCTCTGCAGCGTGGAGACGCTGGAAAAGGAATGATTCAGGTCTGCAAGGGATGAAGGCCTCGCGAGATTTCATCAGATACTCAGAACGGCGCGTAATTTAAAACATATGAATTGTTTATTTCTGGATTCTCCATTTAGTATTTTCTGACTGCGGTTCACTGTAGGTAACTTAAACCATGGCAAGCGAAACTACAGATAGGGGGAGGGTACTGTATTTATTTACCTTTTGAGTATAAAAAATATAGAGGTGATCCCTGAGGGTAGTTCATATCTGTTATTTCATCAGGCTCATTGTGAGTACTGCGGCAATTCTCATCTAAAGGGTAGTCAACAGAGTGGCTATGATATTCAAATATTAAGGCAACCTAGAAAATAAACCTCTGGAACTCTGTAGTCTATATCATTCTGATACTTGTTTACATTAGTCCTTGAATACTAGGCCCCAAAACTCTTGAGCTGAAAAGTTTTGATTCCTATCGACCAGCCACCTTAGGGCCTGGGCTTCCTTCTTGGACTGTTGGAAGCTGGGGATCCACATCTCTCGAGCAGACCTCTGACGGGGAGCCTCAGGTGAGAATGCAAACAAGGTGGGCTCCGGGCAGCTCAGGTGCGTAACATCTGCCTTCCATCTTTTAGGTGGTAAGCCCTGCATTGAGAGAAGGGGAAAAGAGAATTAAAAACATATGATAAGGAAGCCAAGTCTCATGTTCCTGCCTCACAATAACAGAACCCAGCACCACGTACTTTTCCTAAAGCAAGTAACTCCACTCCATGGAATCTCAGTAGTTATACTGCTGAGTAGTGGAAGGAGATAGAAAATATCTAACATTTACTAAGAATATTCTGTGCACGAGACACTTTGCTAAGCACTTTATGCAGGTTACCTCATTTAATTCTTATGGCAAACCCTATGTAGAAACCAGTACTCTTCAAAAGTGTCAAAATTATTAAAAATAAGGAAAGAATGAGCAAACCTCACAGATTGGAGATGAGATGACTAAATCTGGGATCCTGTAATTGGTGCTGGAACATACAAAGGCTGTGAAAAATGACTCAAGACTATAGATCAGTTAGTAGTAGTGCACCAATATTAATTTCTTAGTGTGATAAATGTGCTGTGGTTATCTTAGGGAAAGCCAAGTGAAGGGGAAACCAAGAGCTCTGTGCTATATGTGTAACTCTTCTGTCAATTTAAAATCATTTCAAAATTAAATGTTTTTTAAAGATAATAAAAAAATGCCTTTAAAATTCTGAGAAAAAATTGGTGTCCATTTTAGTAGTTTACACACAGTGAAACCATTGCTTCAATATTAGAGTAGAATCAAGACATTTCAGAAACCCCCCATATACCCCTTCTCAGTAAGCTTTCTGGGGATATATGATCACCAAAACCAGAGAGCAAATCAAGAAAAGGGGAGAAAAGCATAAAGGAAACAGAGGTGACAACACAAAACAAAAGACAAGAAAGGCAATTTCCAAGATACTGTGGAAGGGAAATTTCAGGCTGATCCCTAATTAATATGGAAGGCAGTCAGTACATCCTGGAGGAATCAGGATGCTCTGTAAGATATTTCTTCAACAAGATGGAATGAACTGGATGGCTGATATATTTGAACATCTTCAAAGGAGATTTAAACAATCAATAAGAATTAAATTAGTGATAAATACATAGAAAAATAATAAACAAGAAGACAATTACTAACTAGAAAGAAACAAAAGCTGTACAGGCAAGGGAAACAAGTGATAGTATAAAACAGGGTTCATCTCCGAATAGTCATAACCTTATAAACACTGAATATTTTTTAAAAACTGTATGAGCCAAAACCAGTTTGGCTCAGTAGATAGAGCGTCGGTCTGCGGACTGAAAGGTCCCAGGTTCAATTCTGGTCAAGGGCATGTACATTGGTTTCTGGCACATCCCCAGTAGGGGGTGTGCAGGAAGCAGCTGGTTATGTTTCTCTCTCATCGATGTTTCTAGCTCTCTATCCCTCTCACTTCTGCTCTGTAAAAAAAAATCAATAAAATATACATTAAAAAACTGTATAATTATGTTATTTACTGAGTAAATACTAAAATAATTAGGTAACTAGGGAGGTAAGTGAGTGCTTCTGTGGAAGGGAAAAAAGTGGAAAGTAAAAGACTACTTTTTTTTAAGACTACTCTTCTTAATGCTTTTTTAATTATTTAAGTATAATTGTATACAATATTATATTAGTTTCAGGTGTATAATAGATGATTCAGTATTTCTCTGAATCATCACTTACAGTGTGGCCACCTCACTTAGTCTAGTATCATCCTGTCCTTTGGAAAAGAACAACATTGGAAGATTGACATTAACTCATCTTCAAGACTTATCATAAAGCTACAGTACCCAAATACTGTAGACGCATTAATCAGTCCAGAAATTGACCCATACATATGTTGAAAAATTGATGTTTGAAAAAGAAGCCAACGTAATCCAATCAGGAAGAATAATCTTTCCAACAAAGTGGTATGGATATAATTGGATATCCAAGGAAACAAGCCTCAAATCTTACATCATAATGCATTATAAAAATTAACTACAAGTGGATTATAGACCTAAATGTAAAAGTTAAGATTACAAAATTTCAGGAAGAAAATCTTAGTGACCTTAGATTAGACACATTTTTTAAAACAGATTAGAAAATGCATAAACTCTAAAAAGATAAAATTGATGAACTGGACTTCCATCAAAATTTAAAATTTTACACTTCAAAAGTCACTGTAAAGAAAATAAAAACATAATACTGAATGTAAACTGTAATTTTAAAATAAAATTAAGTAAAAGAAAATGAAAAGAAAAGCCACAGTCTGGAAGAAAACTTTTGTTTATTACAAAATTAACAAATGAGTTGTATTCAAAATATACACTAAGTGGCTAGATTACTATGATCTTTGAATACATAATAATCTGGCCACTCAGTGTATATCCTCTATAGTAAAAGACTAGTATGCAAATTGTCCCCTCAACCAGAAGTTTGACCAGCAGGCAGGCCAGCCAATCACCCATGTCCCCTCCCCCTTGCCAGGCTGGCTGGACCCCACCCATGCAAGAATTCATGCACTGGGCCATCTTTATATATATATAAAGTGTGGCCAGATTATTATGTGTTCAGATATCATAATAATCTGGCTGATCAGTGTATAAAGAATTCTTACAGCAGAAGATTAACAAGAAAACTCAATTTTCAGAAAATGAGCAAAAGATTTAAAGAGACATTTCACCAAAGAAGATATCTATGCCAAATAAACCATTAAAAGATACTCAACATCATTAGTTACTAGAGAAATATAAATAAAACCACTGTGAGATATCACTATACACCCAACAGAATGGTAAAAATTTTAAAAACTAACCACACCAACTATTAATGAATGGAACTCATACAATGTAAGATAGAGCAATTTTGTAAAATAGTTTAGTAGTTTCTCAAAATGTTAAACATACATCTTCCATATGATATAGGCCTGTGGTCAGCAAACGCAGCTTGTGAGCCACATGTGGCTCTTTGGCCCCTTGAGTGTGGCTCTTCCACAAAATACCATGGCCTGGGCGAGTCTATTTTGAAGAAGTGGCATTAAAAGTAGTTTAAGTTTAAAATTTTTGACTCTCAAAAGAAATTTCAATCGTTGTACTATTGATATTTGGCTCTGTTGACTAATGAGTTTGCCGACCACTGATCTAGGCATTACACTCCTAGGTATTTATAGAAGAGAAATGAAAGCATACAACCTTACAGAGACTCGTACATAAATGTTCATAGCAGCTTTATTTGTAATTGGTAAAAAATTGGAAACAAGTCAAATGTCCATCAACAGGTAAATGGATAAGCAAATTTTGGTATGTCCAAACTTCAGAACAATGAGAAATGTAATACTAATTTGTTATGGATGACTGTCGTTATTATCATGCAGAGTGAGAGAAGCCAGACACAAGAGAGTACACATTACATGATTGCATTTATAAAAATTCTAGAAAATGCCTAAGCTTTTTGGTCAAAAGTGACAAAAAGCAGATGGGTGCCTGAGGCAAGGGGTGGTGAGAGACATGAAGAAACTTTTGAGGGATGACAGAAATATTTGACATCTCAATTATAGTGATTTTATAGGTGTATGCATACGTCGTAAGTAACCAAATTGTACCCATTAAATATATGTAGTTTATTGTATGTCAATTACACTACAATAAAGCTATTTTTTTTAAAGTTTATCTCAATTCTATGAAGTTATATTTCTCATGATTACACATTGTCTCTCCTATTTTAGCCTCTTTGAGGACAAGAGCATTTATCAATACGTGCTTTTTAACTGACTAAAATTAACTCATTGATGACCTCTTCAATAATGGAAGATTTTCTCTGACATAAATAAAGCAAACTACACTGAGAATAAACCTATTCAGATTCATCAGGAGGTCAGACTCAAGATGGCCCCTTGATTGCTGCCTCCTGGTAGTCATGCCCAGTGAATTCTCCTCCCTTTGAGTGTAGGTATCACTTGTCACTTGCTTCTAACCAACAGAATATGACAAAGATGAGAGGATGTCTATAATTATGTGTATATGATTACATTTTTAAGATTGTAGGACTGGTCTTGCAAAAATCTCTCAGTCCCTGGTTGGTTTACAGGAATCTCTCAGTACCTGATGGGGAAGCCTGGGTGACAAGTATAGGGGAACTCACTTCAGAGATGCAATATGGCTCCACCAGCAAATGCATCAGATGTTGAACTCTCTGTGACTGTTGGACTCTCTGCGACTATTTGACTCTGGAACCTCATGCATGGCTGACTACCCTGGAAACCATGGCCCCTGGTCCCCTGTCTGCCAGCAGTCCCGCTCCCGCTGTCACTGCCATTCCCACACTCTGATGGCACTGGTCCTGCTCTCTTCCGTTGATGGTGTGGAGCGATTGAGGCGTGTGCTGTCAGTGGGTGCAAGAAGGGCTGGCACTGGCAATGGGTGCAAGCAGTGGCTGCTGCCCTGTTCACCCCTCAGGAGCAGGGGAGTGGAGAAGCTGTCAGGGGCTATCAGGGCTAGCAGCTGCCACTTGCACCCGCTGCCGGTACAGAGCATTTGGGACCAGTGCCAGGCACTGGCTGCAAGTGTGAGTGGGGCTGGCACTGGCAGCAGGAGCAAGCACCAGGCAGGATCACGGCACATGGGAGCAAAGAATTTTCAGTAACCACCAGAGGCTCACCCCAATGACAGCAACCAGCGCCCCACCTTGGTCTGGTGCCCTGGCTCACCTGCTCCACCATCCCACTGTGGCCAATCAATGCCCACCATGTTCCATGCGTACCCCCTGTTGGTCAGTGCATGTCATAGTGATTGGTTGTTCAGTTGTTCTGCTCTTCAGCCTATTTGCATATTAGTCTTTTATTATATAGGATAATTTAAGAAAATAATATTTTAAAGATTGTTCTCATAATATTTTGAATATTCTCTATACATGGAAAAACATGAGGAGAAAGAATAGGAATAAAAGAAAGAGAAAGGTTAATTGTCTATATGAACTGAAAAGTGAGGCATGAGTATAAGGGGTCTGGCCAAAACCACAGCATTGACAGAAAGATGAAAGATTAAAGGACAAGATTCAAAACTTTGAAGTTTTTAAAACTTTCAGCCTCTTTCCTCCTGCAGCCTCCTGTCTCACTGCCCAGCACCTGTAGCATCGTCTCCTCTAGAAAAAACAATAAAGAGACTCTAAGGCCTTCAGGAAGAAAGACATGACAGTGAACTTCATGGAAGTCCTCAAAGGACAGTAATAGTCAAACTGCCCACAGAGCCTGGCCTCTCTGATGGGAATGAGGAGCAGTAATGAGGCAGCTGCCACAGGACACCGATTCAAGATGGTCCCCTACACCTCTCTGCCAAACCTTGAATTGCTTACCTTTTCCTGAAGCCTAATATTATCCCACACCTTGCTGCACACCATGCATTCAAATGTATCAATGTAGTTGTCTTGATTGATGTCTTGCACTCCCCATGTTCGTTCCCTGAGAGCTGTGAGGAGTTGCTGGTTGGAGATCTCACCCTTCAGCTTCCATTCCATATAAGCCTCATACAGTCTGTCATCAGAGTCCAGCTGCTGGATGTAAGTTGCCAGGTCTCTAGGGTGAGAAAATTCTGATACGAGAATAGCACTTCTATTACTGGGAAGCCAGTTGGTGACGCTGGGGGATCCATAATACACAGGGACTACCCCCAGCTTCAGAGGTCTCCAGAGCTTCTCAGTGACGTAGTCGTCACAAATCGCATTCTCAAAAGCAAGGATGAATTTGTACTGTGCAATGATCCTATAGAAGCCATCGGCATCCATGGAGGCTGGATTGTTCAGCTGCCGAGGGAGATCTTTGTTGTGTAAACACTCGCCATAGGAATCGACCTCAATGTAAGTCATCAGCTCTCGAACGTAGCTGTCCCTGTCTGATGGTGGGTCACAGTCGGACTGCACATACACCAGCGGAGCGAGTCTTTTCCGAAGGTTGTTTTTAGACTGCAAAGGGACCAGGTATCGGAGTGACTTCAGGACTCCTATGCCCTCCAGGTACTGGGTGGTGAGTGGCAGGTGGGAATGCCGACTGAATGTGGCAGTGTAGTTGAACAAAGTGATGACTGGCTTATGAAAGAGCTTGTAATTGTTTTTGGGAGACTCTTCATGAAAAAGGGCCCAGTCATGATGGGCTTTCCGGGGAAGAGGTAAGCTATCTATGCTAAAGTCAGTACCTAGGAGAAAAAAAGAAAACATGAGTATGTCCAAAAGAATCTTGGTGCTAAGTTTGAGTCCACCTGGTAAGATTAGAATACAGAGGAGTTTGAAGCTGTAAATAAAAAGCATGTTCCAGTGTCTGCAAAGTGCCTGGCAGGCAGTCATACAACTGTCACCCCAGAAACTGCTTTAGGAGAGAATCACTAAGGACAGGACACTCTTTCTCAGGTAATGAAAGGGAAATGGGAGTGCTGTCTAGCCGAGATCTAAAGGGAGAACTCATCCCACTGCCTCCTGCAATTGCCTTTTCTTCCTGACGTGGCTGCCTAAGAGAGGACATAAGAAATAAAGCTATAGATAGTTCTTAAAAAAGAAAAGAGTAAGAGAAAGGAAGCCAACAAGAGAAAAGCAATCAGCTTGGCAGATTGATTAACTGAAAAAAGGTGAAATCATGCAAAAGTAGCCAGAACAAATATACAAGATAGATTTTTTAATCCAAATGATCGATTTCAACAAAGTGCAGTTAATCAATCTTGGTCAAAATGGTAGACAAGAGGCTTTTAAAAACGAAAGAGCTGATAATAGCACTATGTTACAGACCACTGCAGCATGGACATGAATTAACAAGCACATCAAGAAATAAAGAAGGCATAACAGGATTATAATTATGAGTGACTCTAGCTTCCATGGGATTAACTGGGGAACCTCTGAAACATGATCGCGTGCAGACAGAAGTGATGGATGTGGTAAGCAATTGTTTCCTGACTGTATGGGTGGAGGCCCAGTCAGGAAGAATTTCTTTCTCTGACTGAGAAAGAAGAATTAAGACAGCATCACAATATAAAATACAGAATTTCTAAAGTGTTCCTGGCATTGATAATTTTCTGGACCCTGATTTATGTTTTTTAAGTGCAAGGAAAGGGGAGAAAAATCCATCTTCCAGCACCCACTGGAAAGAAGAGCACCAAATAAATGCTTCTAGTGAAGTAAAACATATTTTCCAGTAGAATTCATAAAAATTAATTATTTAATGCCAGTGCACAATGTCAAATATATACTCCATGGTGCCAATAGTACATAAATAAGAAATCAATTAAACAAAAAAGGCTTTTAAACAATTATGGATCAAATAAGATTATGTTGGAAGACATACACTGAACACAGAGATATTGCTAAAGAAAGTACTAGTGTCTTTCTTTTTTTCTTTCAATCTTTATTGTTGAAAGTATTACACAGGTCCTCCTTTCCCTTCCCCTCCTCCTTCCCCCTCCCCCCCCCCATTAACCTCTTCCAGCCTGATCCTGCCTCCAGGCCCTCACCACCCCATTGTCTGTGTCCACTGGTTATGCATATATGCAAACAAGTTCATTAGTTGATCTCTTCCCACCCTCCCCTACCTTCCCTCTCTTCTTTCTGAGGTTCAACAGTCTGTTTATGTTTCTATGACTCTGGGTCTATTTTTGATCATCAGTTTATTTGTTTCATTAGATTCCACATGAGTGAGATCATATAATACTTATCCTTCTCTGACTGGCTTATTTCGCTCAGCATAATACTCTCTAGGTCCATCCATGCTGTAGCAAATGGTAAGAGTTCTTTCTTTTCTATTGTAGTATAGTATTCTATTGTGTAAATGTACCATAGTATTTTTACCCACTTGTCTGCTGATGGACACTTAGGCTGTTTCCAAGTCTTAGCTATTGTAAATTGTGCTGCTATGAATGTAGGGGTGCTTAAGTACTACTATCTTGATAACAAGTTTTTATTCTCAATGATCAAGAATTAAAGACTAACATCTAAAAGAGGTTATATATTTATTTACTTGGCATTTGTTATATCTGACCATTAGCATAAAAAAAGAATACTCATTCACACACCTGAGACCTAATGACATACAGAGTTGGGATGGTCAGCAACGGTTAATAGAGAAACAAGAACCAAATCCGGTTTGGCTCAGTGGATGGAGGGTTGGCCTGCGGACTGAGGGGTCCCAGGTTCAATTCCAATCAAAGGCGTGTACATTGGTTGAGGGCACATCCCTAGTGTGAGGTGTGTAGGAGGCAACTGATCAATGTTTCTCTCTCATCGATGCTTCTGGCTCTCCATCCCTTTCCCTTTCTCTTTATAAAAAAAAAAAATCAATAAAATATTTTTTTTTAAAGAGAAAGGAGAAGAGGATTTTAGGCAACTTACTGTGCTGCAGTGGTTGCTGCTCAAAAAGGTTCTAGGCTGGTCAAGTAACCAATGATGGGAATTGGAATCCATAAAACTGAGTTAGAACATAAAATTTCCACCGATGGCACAACACAGAATCAAGGCCATGTGCCTAGGAGAAGAAGAACTACAGTCCAATCCATGCAAGCCAGAGTAAGGATCTAACTGTAAGATTAGAGACTGGAGAGGACTGATTTAAAAAAAAAAAAATGGGTCTGGAATTAATGGGAGAATCAGATACAGATGTCTTGAGGAAGTGACTCAAACACTAGTGGCTGTCTGTTGCTACTAGTTATGTGGCATGTGGCTGATTCTTCACCTGCCTCACCCTGGATATGCCACAGGAAAGATCCAATATGCAGAGCAGGGAAACAGAAATATACAAAATCCGCCTCCAATGCTTCGGATAAGGAGAGGGCTTGAATTTCATCTCTGCTTGTGTAAACCAGTGAAGTACAGGAGAAACCACATGGCTATGCTAGATCTTTTCATGGCCACTATTTGGATCCACTCAGACTGTGTGTAATAGGAATCAAACGTGAAATAGGCACCAGTTATAATGAACCTTCCATTAATTTCAACTAGAAGATAAGGGCTTAAAAATTCATTATTCCTTTATTCAAGATGCTATTGAAACCTTGATGTTGGAAGGATGGAGAGAAGAGCACTGAGTTGCTCCCATATGCAATCTGCAATAGCAAAAAAAGCCTGCCAAAAATAAGCAAGAAACATTGACTTATATTCATGTACTAAAAACCAATACACTTCTTAAAAATAAAGGCTGAAGTTCTCACTCGTCCATCTAAATTTTGTTTAATTTGTAGTAGTGGCTTTATACCTTTAATAGTGAAGAAATGCCTGTTTAAGAGGAATCTAGCTTTCTAGAAACATTTCCTTCTCCCCCACCCTTTTTTTTTTCTTTCTATCTTAAAAAGTACTTTCTAGCCCAGCCAGTGTTGCTCAGTGCTTGATTGATCATAGACCTATGAATCAGGAGGTCACGGTTTGATTCAGGTCAGAACACATGACTGGGTTGCAGGCTCAATCCCTGTAGGGGCCATGCAAAAGGCAGCCAATCAATGATTCTCTCTCATCATTGATGTTTCATATATATATATATTATTGATTTTTTTACAGAGAGGAAGGGAGAGAGATAGAGAGCTAGAAACGTCGATGAGAGAGAAACATCGACCAGCTGCCTCCTGCACATCCCCCACCAGGGATATGCCCACAACCAATGTATATGCCCTTGACCGGAATCGAACCTGGGACCTTTCAGTCCGCAGACCGACGCTCTACCACTGAGCCAAACCAGTTTCGGCCATTGATGTTTCTCTCTCTCTCCCTCTCCCTTCCTCTCTGAAATCAATAAAAATGTTTTTTTTAAGTACTTCCCAATTACTTCCCTAAGATACACAACACACAAACACACATTAAAAATTAGCTCCCTAACAGATCTAGAATACTTCACTGAAGATATCCTGGCATAAAATATGAGTATTGATATTGAGCAATTCCTAAAAGATATTGGATGTGGCTCAGGAAACAAGTGAGTTATTTAAATGTCCACTTTAACAAGAATTGGAACCTGGATCTTAAAAGAAATTAAAATCAACTAGCCTATGGTAAACATTTTTAAAAAGTGACTAACTTGCATGGGATTGGTTAACTAGTCCTCTTCATTGGAGCTTCCATTTAACAAAATCAGATTCAAACTTTCTTCTCTCTGGGTTATTTTGTTTACTGAATACTGACAAATGTATTCGTTCCTTTAAATAACAGCTGACAAATAGATCTTAAGCACTAAAGTGCATCGCAAAGGAAACTGCGACTTGGAATACAAATGGAATAAAATTAATGCTGGCAAATGATGCCAGATTGCTGACTACGGAGACTGAATTTGAAACAGCAGTTGAGCAGTGGCCATACTTTGCAGTACATGTTTCTGTGTTCCTTTCCTTCTTTTGTGAGTCCCAGAAAAACTGGTGAAAACAGAAAAGCAACGCATGTTACTAACCCCACTGGACTGACAAAGGTTCAGTCATTTATCTGGAGCTAAAAACCCTTGGTGGGACCAGAATTTTCAGAGTGGCTAATGGTAAAAGAGAAGAGATATCCCTGGTCCCGCTACAGCATTGAATCTATTGCATAACTTACCCTTGGCTCCCCAAGGACACCCACAAAAACATAAGCTGACTTAAACCCAGACCCCTTAAGAAAACAGCATGCCTTAGTGTCCCATAAAGCAAGCCAGTCAGAGAAAGGCAAGTCTCATGTGACCTCACTCTTATGTGGAATCTAATGAACAAAATAAATTGATCAAGAAACTAGACACAGAAACATAGAAGCATGGAACAGACGGATGACTCTCAGATGGAAGATATGGGTAGGTAGGAAGGTGGAGAGAGATTAACCATAGAACTTGTATGCATGTCTGCACAACCCATGGACACAGACAATAGGGGCCTGGGGCAGAGAGCGGGTGCAGGGTGGGGCGAGGGGTGAAAACAAAGTGGCATCTGTAATACTTTCAACATTAAAGATACATTTTTTAAAAAATTGGTACCACAAAATATACTCCCAATAGAGAAAACTAAAACTTTTGAGGAAAAACAGCATAAGCCAAGGAGCTTGTTACACTATCATCTAGCATTTGCATAGTTCATTGCTATTTTCAAAGGCATTTCACATGAATTTTCTCAACTTTCCCTCACAATCCCATGTTCTCTAGAGGGTTAACTAAAAATGTGCAAGACTGGTGGCGGTACCTGGGAAAGGATCCTGTTATCTCAGGCTAAATTTT